CTCCCTCCAACGGATGAATTTTCATCACCTATATAAACCCACCTTCATCAACTAAGAAGGTACTGGTTCTTTTCACTCGACTCATTCACTTGCAAAAGCTCTTGAACGCTCTCAAATCTCTAAAAGCTTTTGTGAACCAGTGTTAAGGTGTTAAGTTACTTGAAGAAAGTTATCGATCATTCTCTTACACCTTAAAGAAGTCTTGTCATTTGTTTGAAGCAATCATCTCTCACTGTCAAGACTTCATCACGTTGGAGAAATCAAGAAATCATTTTCTACCAACCTCAACTCTGAAGAAGAAGTTGATAGAGGCGGAGTAAACTCAAGAAGTTGAAAAACCTACGAAGGCTGTCCGGCTTAGTGATCAAGGAGGTCTTTGTGTAATTGTACTAAAGAGTGATAGTGCAATCCTTCCATCAGTTGTGGAATAAGAGTGGAGTAGGCAACGTTAGCTGAACCACTATAAAATATCTTGTCTCCTCTATCTCTTTACTTACGCATTTTCTTTCTACATTCATATCATCCTCATTATCCCTTTTACCGAAAGTTTTCCTCATATCGTAAACTCGTGCAAAGCAAGTAAACGAATCTGACTTTTCCGCTGCGCCAAAACACCGAAAGGTGACCTTTAGGGCTTTTCACGAAAAGAGTCTATTCACCCCCCCCCCCCCCCCCCCCCCCCCCCTCTAGACTCTGGCTACATTCTATGGGACCAACAAATTATTATTATTATTACTATTATTTAAAGTTATTATTGTTATTATTAAATTATTATTATTGTTATTGTTATTATTATATTATTAGCATTAAATTATTATTATTATTATTATTATTATTATTATTATTATTATTATTATTATTATTATTATTATTATTATATTCATATTCATATTATTATTATTGTTATTGTTATTATTAAATTATTATTATTATTATTATTATTATTATTATTATTATTATTATTATTATTATTATTATTATTATTATTGGTGGTTTGGCCATCTTTAGTCCCAAACTTGGCCAAACAATATTAAAGAAAGTTGGTGGTTTCTCAACTTTCAACTCGAACTCCCTCTTCTCCTATACAATATTAAAGAAAATTTACAAATGTATAGGAGTCGTTTACTTCATTTATCTGTTTTTCTATTTTCAGTTTTTCATTTCTCCATTTCTCCAGTTTTCTTTCTCCATTTTTCCAGTTTTCCTTCTCCATTTTTTCAGTTTTCCATTTTTCCATTTTTCCATTCCTCCAGATTTTTATTTCTCTAATTTTCTGATTTTATTAAATACACTCATCTTATATAGCATTTGCACATTTCTACAACAACAACAATAATAATAATAATAATTTAATAATAATAATAATAACAATAAATAATAGTAATAATAATAATAAGAATTTAATAATAATAATAACAATAACAATAACAATAACAATAATAATAATAATAATAATAATAATAATAATAATAATAATAATAATAATAATAATAATAGCATTTGTACATTTCTACAACAACAAAAACAACAACAATAACAACAACAACAACAACAATAACAATAATAATAATAATAATAATAATAATAATAATAATAATAATAATAATAATAATAATAGTAATAATAATTTTAAAAACTAATAATAACAATAAATAATAATAATAATAATTTAATAATAACAATAACAATAATAATAATAATAATAATAATACTAATAATAATAATAATAATAATAATTTAATGATAATAATATAATAATAACAATAACAATAATAATAATAATAATTTAATAATAACAATAATAACTTTACATAATAGTAATAATAATAAGAATTTAATAATAACTATAAATAATAGTAATAATAATACATTTGAAGAAGAGAATATGAATGAAGGAAAATAATGGAATATGGAAACTTGGGACTAAAGATGGCCAAACCGCCAAACTCGAGGGACCTTGGCTGGTATTAACTCTTTTTGTATAAGTCAAATGACAATATTACCCTCCATTTTGACGACTGAGACGGAAGGAAGTAACGGAAGGACGCTAGAAGGTAACTTTTGACAACTCGGAGGATGACGGATGGTAATTACGGAAGTTAGGGACCGTTGATGGCGATGCCACCAAACTCGAGGGACCATAGGTGGTATTTACTCAATACATATATATTAAGTAAAATTCCAACGTAGTCATGTTGCTCTAATAACTAAAATTTCAAGTGTTTTTTTTTTTTAATTAAAAAAAGATATATTGCAACAACAAAAAGTTAGAAATTAAAACAACTATCATGAGATAATTGAGAGAATTAAAACCAATTTTTTTCTAAAATTAAAAGTCAGCTTATTGTGGGATGCAAAAAGGGCGGAGCTACATTAGTGGGTGGTGTGGAACTTGGGTGGAGAATTCGTGGCGGCAAGGGTGGTTCCAGGAATAGTGGCAAGGGACGCCCGTTCGGTGGACGCGTTGGGGGTGTGGGAGGCGCTAAGGTGGTTAAAGGATATGCAGATGACGGTGGTGGACGTTGAGATGGTTGCGAAAGTGGTCCACGATGCTTTGCACGGGTAGCGGGGGCGTCTTATTTTGATCTTATTGACGATATCAAAGTTATTGCAAGTACTATTAATGGTTTATGTTTCTGTTTTGTTAAACGCTCAACGAATCAGGTTGCCTATTCGTTGACTAGGGAGGCCGGTTCTCTGTAGTTTGGTTTGACATTCTTCCTTCGTTCATTGTAAGCTTGTTGGATTCTGATAATGAAAATTGATTCCCTTTGGTTAAAAAAAAAAAAAAAAAAAACAATTTTTTTCTAAAATTAAAAGTCAACTTATTTTGGGATGCAAATAGGGGCGGAGCTACGTTAGGGGTAGGCACCCCACCCCTTCTCTCACTCTCAAAAATTTTAATAAATTTGTATGTATATATTGATATAGTAGAAATAAAATACACTTTTGATCCCCTTTCAATTTTTTTAAAATCTATTATGTTTATATTAAATAAACTCAAAATATATATTCAAGTTCAAAATCAATTAAATAAAAAGAATTAAATCAAATACTTAAAATCACCATTTTTCTTTATTATCTTATTTCTTTATAAAGATTTTAATAATGGAGGGCATTAAGTATCCATTTTAATTTAAAAAATATCCAAATTTGAGATATATGCTTTAGTCTTATTAGTTACATTGATTAATAAATTAGTGATTTATTGTGTATTTTAATTATTTATTTACACTTTTATGATGTACATTTGCTAGTTTAAATGTTTAATTTTGCAATTGACAAAACTCATATTGATTCTTTAACTCGTAATCTTGGTTTTCCTCTTTATCTCTCAAATTTTGAAATATTCAATTAATCAGTAAAATAAATATCATTTAATTATTAAAAAAAAATTTGGTGACAAAATAATTGACAAAAATTTTTATTTGATAAAAAGTGACAATCTATATTTAAATAAATGTAAATATTATTATTATTATTATTATTATTATTATTATTATTATTATAAATTTTGTTTTATGTGAAAAAAATTTTAAGTAATGAGCAACACTTATGTCGATCGTACTCATATAATTATGTATTTTAAAACTTTACTACACAAAGTATAATTAAAAATCATTATCAATAATAATCACAATAATATCTTAACTATAATATAGCTATATGGTTTGGTGAGCAATTATTGTAACAATAATTGCTCACCAAACCATATGGTTATATTATAGTTAAGAAACTATATGGTTATATAATAGTTAAGATTTATTTATTTACTTATTACATGGTGCATAAAAATTCAAATTAACCTCAATTCATTTTCATCTCTCTTGCCTCATCCAACCCATCCAAAAACTCACAAATAAACTTCAATTGAGATTATTCTAGTGAGGTCAATCTTATAAATTTAGTACATAGTATTTAATATTACAAATTTGTAAGAACTTAGTAAAATACAATAGTAATTGAATTACAATTTTCAGAGTCACCGCGGATCAAAATTTTTAGATCTTTTAGATTTCTAGAGTACTATTGTAATTTACTAAGTCCTTAAAAATTTGTAATATTAAATACTATGTACTAAATTTTTAATATAGTTTAAGATTTGTAGTAATCACCCACCTTAAATATCAATTCTTATTTTAATTGTAAATATATTTATATATGTTCATAATTTTATCATAGCAATTCACACATAATTATTAAATAATAAAATTTTTATATATGAATAAACCTCATATATGGAATATTTTTATAACATATTTCCCGTGCATCGCACGGGACAAATACTAGTATGAATATATAATGATATGATACCATTATTAGTTATAATGTCAACTAACATTATAAATTTTCTCTACTATATCCCCCACTCGAATTTTCCGGCTTCGCCTACCACTATTTATGCCTCCAAAAAAAAAAAAATCAATTGTGGTGATATGGAGACCATGATTGTTTGAACTTTGAAGGTAGGTGCTCTATGGAGAGTATATCACAAATGATACTACGTATATAGTAGTGGCAGTTAGGAAGATAGATTGAGGCTTAATTATGAGCGGAAATACTGAGAACTGCAATAGGATGGAGATAGGTATTCAGTGTCTTAATGGAAGGTAAGATAGTGAGAGGAGAAATAAGTAGAACAATATAATACATGAAAATAAAGAATGATAACAATAGTAATAATAATAATTATTATGCCAGCGATATTGATGTCAAATAGGTAGTTGAAAGTGGGATAATCAATGATCTGGGGAGAAACGTTGAGAGAGAGCACAGTAGGCGGGAATAAGCCAATAAGGTAAGAATACTGGAATAGATATTTGTGATGGTATTGATAGATAATAATAATAATAATAATTATTATTATTATTATTATCATTATTATTATTATTATTATTATTATTATTATTATTATTATTAATCATAATAGTAACAAGAAGAAGAAGAAGAAAGTTTTTATAATATTAAAAAGGCATCACACTTACTACTATAAGTAAAAAAAAAGGGAGTAAAGAACCACACTTTTTATTCAAAACCAAACGACAGCAATGCCCAAAAGGGGATGACTCATCAAATAAAAACCATGTGAAAGAAACAAAAACCTAAAAATACGAATTTATAAAAAAATAAAAATAAAAAAAGAAATAAAAGAGAAATAAAATGAAAATCAACATCTACAACACAATTGAACATTCGAACTTGTTTCACTAAGTAAGAAATGGGAAGGATATTTATACACACCATGGGGTGGTGGTTATGGACTCAATTACAACCCAGCCAAAATGCCATGGCAGGACCTTTGTTCTGTCGCCGTTATGCAGCAGCATTCACAGATTAACAGAATGCACAACACTGGTACACAAAATACTCCTGGAAGCTTCGGGCATCTAATTGAAGGTGTCATAAAATGAATGGAGATGACATATATTGTTACAATAGAAATGCAAGCCTGGAGAAAAGATTCACCGAGTATCTGCTCGTAGCTTAGATTTGGAGATCATCCAATGATAATTCACTGGCATTCAAGAGTTTCAATTTCTGCAGCAGTCAACAAGTTGGTAGTCAGTCAGACACACTGCAGTTATCATTGAAATACAAAGGAGAAGAAGAGGTTTGGGGAAGGAGGGGTTATTTGAAAAGAATGAAGTAATTAACTTGCATACCGTAATGAATTGTGGAGGATCATCAAGGCTAGATGAACCTAATACTACTTCTCTCTTTAGCTTTGTTGTTAATTTATGGCAAACTCGTAACTGAAAAACCAGAGGATATAAGATACAAGGTTAATCTCCAAATACAAGAACAACTATACGAGTACTGCCAACAACTTCATAATAGATTGCTTAAGACCTCAACCAAAAATGACTCTATATGAATGGGCATACAGCAAACACTATGTGCAGGGATATATATATGTATTTATAAGCAGATGTGCGAGTATACCTCGGATCTAGTTGCTCCACCAACTATAAATACAAAAATACGTTGGCCCATCTTCTGAGGATCACTTGATGAATGTCTCAGAACTGAATCACTACAAGCAATTAAAAAGAGAGATCAGATTGCGAATCAGCAGATACAGGCAAACACATAACAAAGTGAAGGAAGTGGGGGTTGATGGGAGAAAAATCAGAAAATTTATTTATAGTTTCCTGTTTATGATTGCATGATTAAACAATGTAAAGAGTATAATATTACAGAGGACATACCTTGAATAGCCATCATCAGAATTTCGAGGGCGTGCCCAAGTTGCCGTCCGTCTAGATCTCATTGAATGAGGAGCTGGAACATTATTTGGTCGCATTGATGCACCCTGTGAAGTCCCATGAAAAGTTGGACTTGGGTCATTCATGCATGGATACTCATCCTTCGGGAGATCACCTTTACTCAATTTTTCAACAAGTTCCTACAAGGTTACAAAGCTTTGATTAAGATTCCACTAATTCATCAAACATGGTCAAATCATTATCAGTATCCAAGGGAAATTTTAATTCTCTGCTAGAGTTGTGTTTTTTCCCCACTTCTTGGTGTGGAATCTAGGTATGGGTGTGGGGATTGTGTGTCAGATTCATTCCTTACAGATTGTCACCTAGAATGGAGGAATGCAAAACATGGTTGTTAAAGAATCCAAGAACAAACAAACATTCATTCCTTTAACTGTCTCGCTGTGGACAATCTCACTCAAGAGTAAAAAACACCAAAAGTGTTTCCCCAGAATAAATCAGTCAAAAATCAAAGGAAGTACAGATGTGACTGTAGCATGATAAAATGCAATATGCAGCAAACCTCAATCATGGGGAAAAAACGAGATAATTGCCACGCTGATTCTTCATCATTGCGTTCTTTTCTTGCACCATGCTTCTTCTGAAAAGCCAACAGAAGCTACTGATAAGAAGGAACTCACCACACACAGATCAATTTCACAGCCAGTTACACACCTTATTAACATCAAATTTAAGAGAGAATGGTACAATTGAGCTTTTTTTGTTTTCTGATGCTGCCTCCAGTAACCTCATATTGTAAACGGCATTCATATCATCTTGAGGCAACCTTGCTAACTAAAACACAAATATCAAGATGCATCAAAAGGGTTAGTAACAACATAAATTTGCTTTGACATAAAAACTCCAGCAATTACAATAAAGAATGGGTTATTAAATCCACTAAGCATGATGGTAGTACTTTTTGAAATGTTAGAACCTGGGAAAAAAAAATGAAATAGGCAAGATTATCAGATAGTCAAAGAAACAGACCCCAATTCTCATGATGCCAATATAAAAACTAGAGTCAAAGCATAGCTGATATCTAAACGGTTGAAATTCCTATGTCAGACACACCTGAAACATCCTTGTATTTATATGCTAACCAGTAACTTTGATTAAAGCTGTTGCCAAAGGGTGCTGAATTAAAAATAAAAAGCTTAATTCTACTTCTAAAACCTGCTGCTATTCAGCAGATATAAAGTGATATATATTATTTACTCTAAGACATCTAAATTATCAAAAAACAAACAAACAAAACAATTTATAAAAAAAAAAAAACAAACAAACAAACAAAACAAAACAAAAACGCAGAGAAAAAGGAAGTTACCTCCATTAGTTTTGCAAGTTTATCATCTTCAAATTTCTCAGGATGAACTGCTGCATATATCATTAACAAGCGCAACTTGTTTTCATGCGTAACATCCTGCAGAAGAGAGCTATAAGGCATAGTTTAAGTACCAATAAAGATTCAAACATAAAAGATACAACTCCTACCGGATTCATTCTCAGAAAATTGATAACATCCTTTGTTCCTGCATCTCCAAAGACAAGATTTTGCTCTAATTGCCCAAGTTCTCTAAGCCCAAACTCTCTGATAATTTTGTTCAACTTTCCAGCAATCTGGGCAAAATACAAAAAAGCAGTACAGAGACAGTTGAGAAGTATTTTCTTATCCTTCCCCCTCAGTAGATTCTATTTTTCCTAGAAAAAAAAAGGAAAAGATGAACCATCATCCATGCCATAAATTCCTGATGAAGATGATAATGAACTGCATGCATTATCTTTAAAGTTTAAAAAACAATGTACTTCAAACACCCAGTGGGCATAGGATATCAGGTATTTAATGTAGCATAAAGACATTAAGCAGGCCTACTAAAGGATAAAGGTGTTGACTGAATTCTCATATCAGTTTAAGTCTAGCACTTCAAAACAAGTTTTTAGATATATTAATCTTTCCTTATTCTTTTCTTCAAGAATTTAAACACAGTTCAACATTACTAAGTTCTAACTTATCCCAAAAAAAAGTACGTAAGTACATTAACACAACCAAAAATGCACATTCCATCAGAAAGCTCAATCTTAATAATGAAATACCCACAACAATGTATGAGTGGTGGAGAGACTAAAATCTCACTTTACCCAACTTTAAAAACCATTTTATAACTGCATGGTGCTCACACAATCAATTTAAAGTGATATACACACATGCCACATAACAGACGGATACCAACTAGTAATACTGTAATTCAATACTCGTGCTCAGGGAGAGGAGTTCCTCATCAGAGTGTAATGGCAGAGATTCAAAAGAGAACATGGCACGTGCAACAATCAAATATATGTAGAGGATGTCTAGTATTACAAATTTGAAATGAAGCATTAGCTCAGATGAAAATGAACAGGTGCATTATACACACAACTCACATCTACATGGAGAGAGAGTTTCTCAATTTGTTCGCTATATTGAGGCAAAGCTTGAACCATTTTCTGCAAATCCCGAGTAGACAACTCACCTCCATCTCTACAAAAATAAAAGATTATTTGGCAAAGATTCAAGTATTCTGCAATTCGATGGATTAGGAGAACTTCTAAAATTTTGACAGTATCAAGATGGTGAATTAAAAGATCTCTAGAAATAAAAATCATGCAAACCTGGAACCATGATGGATTTGTGCTGCTTTATTTTTTGTGACAAAGTTCGTCATCTTTTCGTGCAGTCGTTCACTAGCCTGACAATCAATCATTGATTAACAAGAAAATACATCTATGTTCCTTTACTTGAAAGTAAATTATTCAAGAACATACATCTGCAATATGTGCATGGCGAAGCTCTAACCAGATTGGGTCATGATCCTCCAAAAGTACATCTTTCTTCTCAGGAAGGCCACCCGTTTTGCTTGGAACCTACGAGGTACAATTACTTCACCAAGGAATATAACAACATTCTAACAGTTGAAGATAATTTAGAAGCATGACCTACCTCATGCACATACTTATTTCCCTCCATGTTCAGCAAATCATGACACATGGCATCATATGTCCACTCATGTATGATTGGAGCAACCTAAGAAAAAAGAAGAGAATGTAAGTAAAGAAAGTAATAAACAATTTTATAATAATAAAAAGGGTTGTAGTTAAGAACCTGATCTACAGATCTATCGACAATAAGAAGCTCGCATGTTTCTGTCTGAGGGAAGTGAGGAAGGCTAGATTTATATTTCGTAAGACAATTCCAAACAGCCGCA